CAGGATTTCTATTGGATTTTTTCATTCGTGAGAAAGCATTGGAACATCACTCAGTGACATGTTCACCATTATATGCTCACTGACATATTATATGCTCGCTGCCCCCTGTTAGTTTTGATGATTTGAAAGTGTAACATTCATTTGGAATAAAAGAACGTGAGTGGGGTTTACGCTTGTTTAATCGAAAATGATTGGATATACGTTGCTCTGTTAAAAAAAAAATCGAAAATAATTATTTCGAAGAGATTTTTAATACCGAGCACAAATAGCGCATTTTTTGGAGATACACCATTTACCTCCGGCAATGGCCGTTTTTGTTAGTTGGACGGTTGTTTGAACGAAAATGATTGAAGATATGTTGCTCTGATAAAAAACAAATGAAAATGATTATTTCGATGATTTTTCCAATACTGAGCATAAATAGCGCATTTTTTGGAAATACGTCACTTTACCTTCTGGAAATGATGGTTTTTTGTAGTTACATGACTCTGTTACTAAGCTGTCGATATGGACAGAAAACAATAACTCTTTGATTTTCATCTCGAGTAATGAATGATTATTCAATTATTGAAAAACATGAACTCAGAAACAAAATCAATGATTTAACGGAATTTCTTATTCATGTACTCTTGATACGAAGAGAGCTCTTCAGGGCTTTGAGCTCGAAGATTTTTGCCTTGTGCATAAAATGCACGATCCAGTCAATAGCGCCACGATTCACTTAACTTTAACCGAGGTCTAACCGTGGTTTCCTAATCCAAAAACTGGCCCTCAGCACTAAAGCGCCAATTGTTCGTGAACGCGCGCAACCGCGCGCGTTATAGATCTGAGGATATTATTATAGGAGTGCGAGAATATTATGGGAGAGAAGAAATATCGATGTGTATTTTAATGAATAAAGAGGAGAAAATTGTGTTAAAATTAAGAATTGAAGTGTGTTAAAATTAAGAGGTTTTTATTATTAATACTGCAGTGCCATTTCGTTTTCTTCCTGGTGGATTATTATTAATAACTGCAGTGAATAACTGCAGTGACATTTCGTTGTCTTCCTGGTGGAAATGATGTAAGTAGATTTCTTTCAATATAAATCCTTCGACGTAATAAAAAAGTATAGTAAGAAAAGAAATAATCTTAAAGTTATTATATATTTAAAGTGTTTACATATATTCGTTAGCTTCTTTTTCAGTTGGAAAAAAAAGTCGATAGTCGTGAACTACGTAAAGAGAAGAGAAAAGAAAGGGGAAACAATAACTCGTGAATCGTAGAGTAGAATTGCTTCCTTTATTAAAAGTTCAAATATTTCTCCAATTCTCCAGCATCAAAACGAGATTTGATTCATTTATATCGTATCACTTGGTTAGACGATATATTTGACAATTAAACATGATTTGCTTGATTTCATTTTCTACAGCTTTTTTTTTCCTATGAGAAAGAGAAGGACAGAGATGAAAATTAGCTGCAATTGATGTTGTTAAAGATCAATTGTTCTTAAATATTGGAAAAATATTTTTCCATTGAATAAAACATATTCTCATGTGATTTTTATTCTTCTCCTTTTTTCAGACCTGGTTTGAAGCAAATACGTGACGGAGGTTTCGAGTTTATCTTGTTATCAACACACCGGAGAGTTTTCCTTTGCTGGCGGAATAATCAATTTGTATCGATGAATGTGGTGATTTATTGAAGAAATTGATGATATTGATGGAATAAGTATGATGATGATGTTGATGATGTTGATGATAATAATAATGATGATGGTGATGATTTGTCGATGAGGAAGATAACTTTGATTTTTTTATTTTATGAATTGTTTATGATTTGATGATATACTAATTGATAAAATGAATGATAAATTGGAAATGATGGAAATATTGTGATGTATGCCCAT